TGTCTTTGGCTCCTGGTAAAGTATAAGTAACAAATCTGTTTCTCACCGTTCTCTCTGTAGTATCGCTGCAGTTTTTCATCCAGTATTTTACAGATGCCGTCTCCAAAGTTCTGGAGGATCTTTGCCTCTTTTGCGCTTTGAAGAGGTAACGGATACTTATTTAAAGAGCTGATGGCCTGGAAGAAGACAAAAACACGTAAATGAAGATCTGTGTCTGCTTTCCTCTCTATGTTTTTCAATTTCACTTTGTAAAGCTTTTCTTTTTTTTTTTTTATTGGCTGCACTATAAAATACGCTAGTGAATTGTAGCGCTGCAATGGATGGATCATTATTTTCATTATCGACTAATCTATAAAATGTTGAATAAAAGTGTGAAAAATGCTCAACACAATTTTCAAGATCACAAAGTGACGTCTTCAAATTGCTTCTTTTGTCCAACCAAAATCCAAAGACTCTTAATTTCCAATCATAAATGACCAAAAATAGCAGCAATCCCTTCACACTGTTGCTTAAAAAACAAAACTCACTGAAACGATTAATCGATTACCGAAAAAAGTTGTTGATTAATTTTCTTTCAACCGACTAATCGTTGCCACTCTAAACAGTTAAAGTAATTTATTTCAGAAGCATTTTTTGTTATTTGTTGAGATTCTCCTTTATGTCCACAACATGAGGCAATTAATTTGAATGACAGCAAGAGATCTTATTTTAAAGTTAAAAACAGTCAATTTGATGCTTCCATGAAGTTTGGCACTAGAAATTTAACTTAGTTAAGTAAGCTTTCTTAAGTACCTGTTGACCAGTCTATAATTGAAAGAAAGAAAACTGACTACGACGTTGGAATAACTCATTATCTAATTGTTTAATATTAAGTGACAGTGACTCATTAATAAGGAACCATACTGCATATTTCTCCAGTTCTTTGTTTCTCAGGACTTTTGGACGGGCTTCCTTGTGATTGACAGGTCGCAACCTGTTCATCAGGATAGAGGCAACTCCTGTCCGCTGCTCTGTGTACATTTTTCATAAATGGCTGTCAGCAGGAGAGCAAGTCATGTCTGAGTCTGTTAATATGTTTTGTTTTAAAAGTAAATTGTTTTGTTAACCTTTTTATTTTTTATAATAATTTTAACTGTGATTACATTTTTGTTTAGTTTTTTTATATCCAGGATGTATTTAATAAACGATTAAACACTTTTGTAAAGAGGGACAGTAAGTTTCAAACCCACTGGCCCGGTGGGGTCAGTTGCAAAAACGTCTAACGTTGAGTCCTGCATCTGCAAAGACAGAAGCAAATTAGGGCTGAGCGATATTGAAAAAATATCTAATAATATCAATTATTTTGATTGATATTGAAATATGATTTGCAATATTGAGGGGAACAATATATATATATTTTTTTATTCTCATTTTCATTGAAAAATATTAAAATGATTATGGTGTCATTTTTGAGGGGATTGGTACCAAGTAAAGATGTTTTCTTCAGTCTGCAGAATATGATGTGTAGGTCAAGACAACTCTGCAACACGACAACATTTAACTTAATCTCCTTAAACAAATAGTGGTGTGATTTGAAAATTGCCATATTGTGATTCTGCTAAAATGTTTACACTATTGTCTAAAATATAACTGCATGCTGTTGCATTAAGATATCGATCTATATATTACATCTAGTATCTTCAACCAAGTCCAGTTGCCCTTCACTTTAACTTTCTTTGGAGTAAGTTAACACGTCTGACCAGTAGGCCTGGACTGACCTTCTGGTAGGTGTACTGGATCTTCAGTCCCTTCTCTCTTGCCTGGTCCCGGAGCTCAGTGAGCCACTTGAGGAACAGCGGGTTCGGGCAGGAGGGCAGGGCGCGTTTGCGACCCAACCGAACCGGCTCCGACGCGGGCATCCCCCCCTCCAGATCTGACGGCAGAGACACGACGCGGTGCACTTAGAGAAGTACTCTAACATTTGCTAACGATAGCAGACCCTGATTAAAGTTAGCTGTTTGAAAGCTTCCTCCAACAAGCCACCGAATTAAAAAGTACCAAGCAACATTTGTAGAGTTATTTAGCACAGAAACAGTGAGGTAAGTCGTGCCTGTACCTGAAACCGCGGCTCACCTTTTAATTGGTAATTTGCAGCAGCAGCTCGCGCCTTTGTGCTTCAAAGACACAGCGCACTTCCTTGTTGACAGCAGTCACGTGACCGGGAAAAGAAGGAGGGACAACAAGGTGAGCAGTGACATCTAGCGGCGACCTTTTTAAAGAAAAGACAAATATCATGGATGAACAAACCGGTTGGAAAAAAAACTGTTTGATGAGTTCATTATTTAGTATGAATTAATGAAATAACAAACGAATCGATGAATAAATAAGCTACTGTAGCCTACTGTGTTTCAAAAATCAATCAATTTATTTTCTTCACTTTTAGACAGACAGCACATAAAGAATATATGTTTTTTTCAAGTATATCTTAAAACAATACCAAAAATGTCTCTGACAATACTCACATGTACATATGTTGAATATGTATGTTGTATGAAATGTTGTCCCTCCATAGTTTGGATATTCCTGCACAAACCTTTATTTTTAGGCTATATTGTAGATATAATATTTTTTTTTCATATTTTATTGTGGATTTTGTATTTATGCTTATTGACCTACAGTACTTGCTTTTTATCTATTTTTATTTTCTCTTAATATGTTTATTGTTATACACTGAAACAACAAAGCATAGAAACCTGATTTTGATTCTGACTCTTCTCCATACTGGCAGTCTTGGGAAGGTTACTTTCTAAATATGATAGGTTACCGATTAGGCCAATGAGTTACCCTATTTAAAATGTAATAATAAACATAATAAACAAAACCTAATTGGCCTTATGAAGACCAAATGCAGAACTAAATGACAACACAAAATCAAAGCATGTGGTTAAACTGGTGCAAATACATTCTTGTGCAATGCTCAAGTTTTGAAATACAGCTTTAAATATACTCTGATCTAACAGACCTGATCGTATTTGCAATCTGGATGTTGTAGAGCGACAAAATCACTCGGTGTCAGCTCGCTTTCAAGACCGTTATCTAGTTGTTTCCTGAATCCACCTCCACGTGTCCCCAGGCTGAAGGTTTGTAGGAATCCTCCAACAAGACCCGACAGAGACCAAGAATCCAACCTCACCCTCACAACCACAACCTTTCTCTTTATGAAACACACAGTCAAAAGCTGAAGTAAGAAAAGTAGAATAATTGGAGCTTAACAGCCGTCTTTCATGCACTCAACGAGGTTTGATTTATTAACTTACACTTTATGAATTGAAAGACACATTTAATGTTGTAAAACAAGGCTGACTTGTTGGACTGAACAGTACAACCACAGAAAATATTACATCAGACATTAAAATGGAATAAAAACTCCACTTAGGCTATTTATCAACTATTTTGCCGACAAAACAAAAGTAGAGGAGAGAACGACGCGCGTCCAACTGTTCAGCGCTGAACCTGTGTGACCACATGGATTTACAACTCTAAATATGTCAACAGACAGTCATACCAAGAATTCTTTGTGTGCCTGTAGCAACATCTTTCACCACTCTGTGTTGTAATGTAAATATTTAATAAGTATTTGCTTGAATCCTTTATTACCTTTCATATAATCAACCCACTAATTCCAGCAATTTGGAAGTTAACTGTCTCTAAAGTTGGTGAACTGCAGTCAGTCCACTGCTAAGTTGTTTTGCTTGTCAGTTGTCTAAAAATGTCACTATTAGAGAACTAAATTGCACCTAAATCTACCTGATTGCATTTTAACTAAGATAACAAGTCAGTTATTGGGTTTACTGTTATATGCAAATATTAATGTAAGGGGGGCAGGGTGTGCATATTGCTCCATAAGCATCCATACAATCTACATTTACATCCAGTAAATTGTGTTGGGTATTGTTTTTGCAGAAACTTGCATAAATGCAATTATGTATGGATTAGTAATCTCTAAATATAGACCAGGGATTGAACTCACGACCATGGCAGTATTAGTACCAGGCTGTCCTGCCTGGTTAAATAAAACTATAATAGGCTATTATGCTCTAACCAACTGAATTCATGATGGTCTGAGAACCTTTGATGTTAGTAGGGGTGTCCAGTAAATATTTTCTTTATTTTTTGTGTCCATAACAAATCCTGAATAAACGCTTCAAACTCATCCCCAGTTAATCACTTTTCCTGCCCGGTGATGACCAGACATGGGCACAAAACCCCCATAAAACTGCAACGTGACATATTCACACTTTGACACTTTATGTTAATTAGTGAGCTTTAGAGGTGCTGGTAGGTGTATTTATTTACCTTGGAACAGAGCCAGACGCTAAGCTAAGCTAACAACTAAGCATTAGCTTCATATGTACTGTACAGGCATGAGAAACATTTCCAAACTGAGCTGACGCCCTCATGGGCTCTAGCCTAAATTAGAGGTGGAGGAGGTTGGATATTTAACTGGCCAGTCAGGATTGTTTCTACCAGGATTAACCGTTCAGGGTCCGCTGTCTTTGACCTCATTTAACTTCTGATTGAGAGAACGGTCATATCAGGCATTAGTCACAGATTAGTCTATGCTGACAGGCTTGATTGTTTCAATAAAAGTAACGGTTTCAGCTAATCATTTACACAGTGGAGCATATTGTTGGGCTTGGACGCTTCTCTAATATCATCCGTTAGATACATTTGTGAAATCATGGTAAAGGTCAGAGCCACAATAAGTATGACTTTTTTAAACTAAACATTTCTGAGGCGTTCGTTTTCAGACGTAATTATTAAATAGCCTATTTTAAATTTCAGTTTCGTCATGCAACAATATTGTTTTAGTTATTCTTTGAGTGCACTTCAATGGCCTTGAACCACACCAGCTGTCAACCAATAGGTCACACAGTTCATTTCAAACACTGTTGAACCAGGATGCATCTATAATGTAGCTCACAATGAAAGCTCAATTTGTGACAAAAAAAGAGAAGTAGTTTTTGTTTAATATATTACTCCCTTTAATAAACAAAAGTACGTTTTTTCATAGAAAAACTCCGTACACCGTACAGAAGAGCAGACAGGTAATATTCACATGAAGAATGATATGTTGGTATTGTCAGACATGTTTATCAGCTTAATCACATCACAATCCAATGTAAAAAGACATATCGGTAAAATCAGACTTGGCTTTGTTGGTGCATTATTTCATTTTAGCCGCGTTATGTACAGATACCCAAATCCACACACACACACACACACACACACTAACTTTCCCCACAGCGATCTGTCATCCGCCTATGTTGAGTCACTTTTCCATGTCCATCCGTCAACATATCCATCTATCCTTTATCCATCTCCCCTGAGTTTGTCGTTCTAATGATCTTCCAGGCTTCCCTCACACCTACTGCTCTCCTGATCCGGTGGCGTCATCACTATCAGCTCCTTGAGGAGAGCCTGGCGTCGATCCTCCGACTGACCCTCCCTCTGCTCCTCCTCCTCCTGCTGCTCTCCTTGCAGCCTTCCCCTTCAACAGGTGACTGTTGGGGTGAAGAGTGTGGAGGTGGATCAGCAGCTCGTCCTGCGTTCCCGCTGTGTGGCCGCACTCCTCGCAGACGTACAGCTTGTTGCGCCGCTCCTTATAGGCGTACTTCTGGGTGACGCTGTGGATCTTCTTCATGTGGGACTCCAGGGAGCAGCGCTGGGTGAAGGCCTTTTCGCAGAGGGTGCACTTGTAAGGACGGACTCCTGTGGGAAATTATAAAGAGAAATGTCATGTGCTTTCTTGCATTTGTTGCCTATGTGTTTATGCAAGTGTGCGTAAACATGGAAGTGTGTAGCTACCTGTATGTGTGCGCACGTGTCTCTTGAGGTCAAAGGTGTCGTTGAAGCCTTTGCCGCAGAAGCTGCACGGGTGTCTCTTGGTCTCGTTGTGACACTTCATGTGTCTGTTTAACATACGTTGGTAGTGGAAGGTCTTCTGGCAAACCTACAAGCAGCAACAAAAAACATCAGGGCCTTTTCACTTTACTTTTACATTCAGTTATCTCCAGGGCTTAAAACACTAAAGGTGCCCTGTGAGGATTTTTGTTGAATAGCCGATGGCAGCATCTGTCTGTCGACCACTTTGGTCCTGATGGAAATAACTCATCAGCTGTTGGCTGGATTGCCTGGAAATGTGTCAGAAACATCCATGTTCCCCTCAGGATGAATGTTTACATTCAGTGTTTCTCACCAAAAGGCATTGTGTGTATCACTGAAGCCTAACAAACACAATTAACGCATTTTCTTCCTCATTCAACATTTGCAAAAGCCAAATTAAAAAAATATATTTAAATGTTTTATATACATCCATGTTTGCTAGCTTTCAGTCTTCCTCTTCCCCTTCACTTCCTTTGTGGACACATTGTTACGATTCTTTGCATATTACTGCACAAGACTGGCAGCAGGAAAATGAATCTTGTTGCTTGTGCATGATACAAACAAAATGGAGCCCCACTCTTAAAAACATCACTCCATAGTGCTACTATTGGCCCAGAACTCCACAATGTAGATTTTGATTAAAGTTTTTTTAAAGTTTTTCCTTGTTTTTAATAAATGGTAAAAATTAAAATATTCTGCATTTCTGTTCAGTCTCCATACCTGGCATGAAAGCGTCCCCGTCGTCGTCCCAGTTGACAAACTTTGACTTTGACCTGTTGATCTGGTCACCATGGAGACCGCTTCCACGGGCGCAGGAGTTGTCGTCACAGCAACCGGCATCACGGTGGCATGTGGCGTTGGCGGGGTGGAGATGGCAGGAAGAGAGGGGGGGAGAGAAGAAGGAACGGGCAGTAACTCGCCTGTAGTTACCTGCAGAGGGGAGGGCGAATAAAAATATTATTGACATTATGATTCCAAGTTCATTCATCTGCATTTATAAAGCTGTTGTTTAACTTAATGTTCACCACTTTGAACACTGAGCTGCAGTTTAACACGTACAAAAAACAACGTACAAAGACAATGTTGCACTAATGCATTAAGAGAAATCATAGCTCATATGGAAATGAAGCGAATATCTGAATAATATTAGTAATACTAATAGATATTAGTTACATCGAGCTGTTAATTAAGAAATAAAACACCAATTTAAGGGGTGTAGCCGTATGTAATTCTGAAAATGTTACACAATCCCTCCCTCCTTATTGTAATTGTGCAGCAAATCAATAATTATCATTGTGAGATTTGACAATCTGAGGAAATGCTGTGCTGTAAATGTTCGTTTCTAGAAGAATAAACAACCCAAACTAGGCACATTTTCTCAGTTTGAAACATCTAGATATTTTGTTTCATACCCACTATATAAACCAAAAAATGTAAATGTTCTGCACTTAATCACCACCACTATTTTGGTCAGTTGCTGCTTTTCTTCCTCACCTTGATTTTGGATCGGATGTATGTAGGGCCACCCTGCGTTCTCCTTCTCACCTCAGACCTCTCCTCCGGTGAAGCCGGCGGGCTCTGTGGTCGGCCCAGCATCGTGCTGGACGGCAGTTCGGCGTGTGTTTGTGTGTCAGAGAGAGACGGTTTGGTGAGGCAGAGCGGCGTCGTCTCCGCAGGGCTGGCTTCGGCTTCCATCATCAGGACGGATGGAGGGAAGATGGAGACTGGAGGGAGAGAGAGGATAAGTTAGTGTCACCTTCCAAGTAACTTCTTAAACCTTTTTTCTCGCAACTTGGGGACAGCGGAAACAAGTTGAAGGCGTGTTTCTAGCCACCTGATAAATGCAAGTCAAACATTCACTCTCTTTTAGCTCTGTTTTTGGTCTCCACCAAAAGGAAGTGCCTGGCTTTTTTGCTGCTAAATGCTCCATTATGTTCACCAGCTAGTCTCAAACTGTGTTTGTCTCCTGGACAGGTTGTGTAGAGTGAGTTTATAGAGCTTTTTCTATGAAAACAGCTGCCTTGTACATTTTAAAAAAAGCTGCTACAAATAAAGATTATTAGACTAATGATTGTTGTTATGATTTTGAGTATGATTATGATCACTGAGTTGCATTATGGGAAACGTAGGATCCAGCATTTGTGAAGATAAAAGGCATTACTAGGAACTTAACGTCACAACATCTCGACATCTGCAGCTTCGATTTTGACCGTTCTTTGTTTATTCTGTCTGTTGCGAGTGCCCAAACTTTAGGGAAGTGCAACGCAAAGTTACTTGAAAAAATAAGATATTTTGATTGATTAATTATTCTGATAACTAAATGAGCGTCTGTATGGATGCTGGCTAAATAATTTCATTTTCTTCCTTCTGATGTTGTTAGAGCTGCACACTGCACATTTGATTAAAAATGTAACTACAGGCTAAAAAAGTAGGAAATACACTGACAAGTAGGACAGATGGTGAGAGGGACATGTAAGAGAACAAGGGAACGGGAGAGAAAAAGAAGGAGACAGAGGGAGAAATGTCTCATACAGAGTTTCACAATAAGCAGCTGCCTCATATTTGCACAATCTCTCAATTAGCAAACATGCAGAATTAAATGTGTGTATCTATTTCTGTGTGTGGGCGTGGGCGTTTATATGTTTTGCCTATTGTTTAGTGGGACTTTTTTTTGCACGCACACATGCCCAACACACACACACACCACATTACCATTGCAGTTAGACTTGTCCGACCAGACAGTCTTGCAGCACCAGCTCTGTACCTTCCTCAAACAATCCACCTCCGCAGGGCTGGATGCCTTTCCGTGTGTGTGTTGTGTATAAGAGTATAACAAAACACCAGTAAAAGAGGGTGACAGAAAGAAATGTAGGGTCTATTGAAACATTCGAGCCTCCAACACACAGGTGTGTGTGCATGCTTTTGTGCGTGTGTTCAGGTAGCCCACAGGCAGGTGTGGTCTGGCTCAGTGAGGACAACGAATCAGTTGACTCTGCAGGGCCTCTATCAGATAAAACACAAATGTGAATGCAAATGTTGCCTCATAGGGAGCTATACAGATGAAAACACATAGCCCATCTGTAAACTCACAGAGGTAACGGTATGCTGTGACACACGGGGACAGCACCATGTACACTGAAGGCCTCATGAGCAGCTTCCTTTCTTATTTAGTAAAGAGATATCACTCACAGACCCTCTGCGGACCTTAACAATCAGTTTAAATTAACTAGTTGGACTGGGTATTGTTTGTCCAGTTTTGCTGCAAAGTACACATTATCCTTAATGTGTACTTTTGGTTTTGTCAGGGATGCAGAATTTGGGAAGTCGGATCTTTTTTGATTGTTTATTTTACAAACTGTTGACCATATCATTTCAGCATTTGTAACGATTTTATATCTTTAGTTATTCCTGTGTGGAGATAGTTTCTGTGGTGACGGCTGCTGGCTGGACATTTAATCTCATCTTGTATTGTTTGTTCGCCCCTCCTTCCCCCTCACCAATGAATGAAGAGAATGTGTGTGCTTAGGTCAGAGTGTGTGTGTGTGTGTGTGTGTGTGTCTGTATTTTTGGGAGGTAGAGTGAGGGGGTTCAAAATACCCCAATTGTTGAGAGAGAGGGAGAGAGAGACAGAGTTGTGTTGTTAAAAATGCACTTCTGTAATATTTTTTTTCTATTCATTTAATGGCGCTGAGCTCGGAGAGTCAACAATAGGTAGATAAGATTATCAAACAGAGGGTGTGAGTGTGTGTGTGTGTTTGCTAAAGGCGTACTGTCCGCAGCAGTGGGCTGGCTGTAGGGTCCGTTACATTTCCTCCCATCCAATAAACATTAACCTTGCTATATCCTTATACAACTTTTAGATGAAAGAGTAAAACCATTTTAATCTGGGACATTTAGCTTTTTTAAAATATAAATTATTATCATTAATTTTGTTATTAAAGAGACAGATCACCTGTTTCTATAGCCTATTAGGGCCTTTTGTCTACTATCAGTTCTGACCTACTGGCATCAATAACAGTGCCTCAATTTTAATTTTTTTTTTTTTTTTTATTATTTGTACTTATTTCCTTTTCCCCCTGTACTTTGTATGTTAATTGTGTTCCCATAGCAGTCCACCTGTTTTTATTTATTTATATTTAACACACTTTATTGTATTTATGAGCAAAGTGATGCCTAATCTCACATAAACCAGCAGGTGCAAGTGATAATAGTTCGTCATGTAATGTGTGAGTGACACGTGGGGCGGCCTAGAAACTAAAGGGTTGATTTGGGACTGATGATCCATCACAAACAGGCTCAGGCACATGTTTGTGGATTAAGAGATAAATATAAATGACTGCTACTACACACACACATACACACACAAATATTTAACTGTCGAAACTGATAGCATCCGGCTCCCCATAAAAGTATTCATCTAGTCTTTCTCTGACGGCAATTATGTGTGTGTGTTTGTGTGTTTGTGTGTGTGTGTCCTTCTGTCACTCTCACACAAAAACAGTACCTGCCTGCCTAAGCCAGGCCTAAGCCAGGCAGGTATGTCAAGTAACGGCACATACCAGAAACTTTTGCCGGGACCGTTGCTGGGTTTGGTGAGGAGTGGTAACAATGCGTAATTATGCAATGACGCTCATGGCAAACTGGACTTTATTTTATTCAAATGCGACTTCTTTTCAACAGGTTCTCATTTTGGGTGCCGTTTAAGGTCAACAATGAAGTTCAAAGTTTTCAGAATGCCATTAAATGAAATTAATTTAAACGTGCGCGTAAAATTAGCATCTGAATGCTTAACGTGCTGTTAATCAATCCAGAAATACTGTCACTGCAATTAGACAGGATGATTAGTTGCCTCTTAGTTCCTTTTACACGGTTTAAAACCACCTAGAAATTAGGTTCCGGCTTCCAACACTAGAGAGGATGTAAAAGTCAATGATTAAAAGTTAACGGTGATGAGTTGTGGAGGAAAAGGTCACAGAGGGAGAGAAAGAGAGAGACACGGGGGGAGGGGGAGAGAAATGAGAGCGACAGAGAGGTTTGTTAGGGTGTAGTCCGTTATTTGATATCTGATACGTGGTCTTACAATAAAAACTCTGCCGATGGCAACAATGGGGATTGTTCTCAAGACGAGAGAGAGAAAAGAGCTGTTGGGAAAGTAATGGACTCCCTTAACTTGTCATTTAAATGTAAAGTCGGTGGTAAACACGCTACATAACTGGCGCCAACGACGTCATGCTCAAATTTGACAGTTAAGACATGTCAGCTCTTGTTTGGGCGCACGATCCAGAAAACGTTATTTTCTATGGATCAAACCGCAGTGCAATCAAAAATGTCAACATATGAGTGGGCCACGAATCCATTTCAGGTCTTGACTCATAGGCTAATACACATTACAATACACTGACGTTTATTTTGATTTAAGGATGTGAGGACAACTCTGCCTTTAAAAACAGCAGCAGCAGCAGAAAAAGGAGCTTTATTGCCAAGTAGTGTTTTACACATACGAGGAATTTGCTTTGGTGATAAGGAGCTACACGTAGACAAACATACAGTTGACATAAATAAATGTAGAAATGAGTAAATATGGAATAAGCAGATAAGGACTTCATGTTTAAAAAATCATCTCCATCAAGGCTTAACCGATGATCCCTGGACAAAGATTTAAACTCAGTCCCTTACCAATAGACCAGAACTGAGTGACTACTCAGTAGGCTTATAACAGGCCTGTATTTAAGCGACACAGTTCAATTCAGTGCTAAGCAGGAAGAACGCCTCAATCAAGGGTTGAAGGTCGATATGTGAGAAGCAACGGGCCCTTGTGATGTTAGGCCGCACAACACCCAACAAGCTGATAGGCTAAATGACAAATATGAACATACAAGTGCAAATATAGGTTAGTATCGGCTTTTGTACTGATATGTTAATGTGAACTTAAATCTAATAGTTCGATTAGGATACAGCGGGTTTACAACTTTGTTTTGAAGCAAACTAAACATTGAAAGGAGTGGTAAATCGGCCAAAACAGAAAAATAAGCAGCTTCCCTCTGCATGCAGGAACTATTCTACTCTGTCTTCACGGCCCGCTGTGTTTCCCGTTATTCTGTGGCCCCGGACTGCGGCCGACCCGTTACAATCACAACCCGACCCCTCCTCACCCGCCACTCTGACATTTCTGGTGGATCCAAAACCGCATGAAATCCACAAATCCGTGCGTAAAAACACCAAAGACGCGCCGAGAGGCCCGCTAATGCTTTCGTTATGGTCGCTTTAAAAAAATTAATTTAAATAAAAAAAAATCAACAAATATGGCTCATTACAGCAGCGTGGACTCACCTGGGATGTAGACGTCCCCTCGCTCATGATCAGGTAGTTCACTCCAGTTCCGCTTTCCCGGCGATATATTCGCCTTTTTCACCAGAAAAGCCCTCGGCATGTTCAATTAATACCCGATCCTTTATGGAGGTTGGTGGAGAAGCGACTTAGCTCGACGTGAAGTCAACTAAAAGTCACAAAGCAGGAAACTCCAAAGTTGGAAGGGAAAAAATGGAAGGTGTCGGTCTCTTCTCCTCCTTCTTCCTTGCACCTTTTCTTCTCGTTTCGCAAGCTGTACGCCGCTTTTACCTGCTTTCTTCCCCACACCTTTCTTTCTCTTAACCTGATCTTCTCTCCAGCTCGGGATGAACAAAAGCTAAAACGTATGTCGGCGTCGGGACAGGTGAGTCCGCTCAGGTATGCAACCCGGACAGGTAAAGTCGAATATCACCTAACAGGCTCCTGAAATAACGGGAGTGTGTGAGAGTGGGTGGGGGAAAAACACGGCAGATTGTATCCTGATCACACACACACACAGTCAACAGAGGTGGGCAGGCTACAAAAGCGGCACAGGTACTCATTTGAAAAGCAGGAAACAGGCGCCAGCGCGCATGCGCGACAGAAATAACGGTGACAACAAGCCAGAGAGTCTGGGTTAGGCCTCTGAAGGCCATACCTGCTGAACCGGTTTACCTCTCCTTTCTCACTCTCGCCTCCACCTCTCCGCCATTCCGCTTTAAGGTGTGGGGAACGGTGGAAATAAGAAGAAGAAGAAAATTTGGAGGGGTAGAGAGTGTGTGAGGAGGGGGAGAAGAGCAGTTAACATAGACACTGGAGCACACTCACGCATGGCGTGAACACACGTTCCCCCTGCAGCCGCATGAACACAACCAAAAGGGTAACAAGTTGAGCATCAGTTTTTTAAAACCCACCCAGTATATAGAAACCTCCAGAACAGAATATTAGATTCATCAGGATGTTTCACAGATGGTATTTTTAGACACAGGTAGCTGTAGCACATCATTTCATGACAGATCTAACTCTATAAAAGGCTGATGGGAATGTATTTTCACATATTATCACAGAAGTTTGAGTCTTTCTTTCTTGGTCTCCCTAAAATTTATTTTTTTTTGTTTTAGATTATTTTGCTTTTGCACTGAAGCTCATCTGCACACTTGATACTACCCCTGGATAAAGGGGTTTCTGTGCATGCCATTCACATAAGGTTGTGTTTGCATAATATTTTAGGCCAGTAGCTTCTGTAATTACTGTGAATAGACAGAAACCTTCTGGAGAAATTCACTGTTAAAGACAATATAAAAGCTATGATCGATAGATAAACTTTATTGTCATTTAACGTGGGAATTTACATACGCAGAAGAATCTCATCAGCTACCATAATAGTGCATTTAAAAGGACAACGATAAATAGCCAAACCTAAATAGTTAAAAACAACAATCCTAAAAAAATAAAGAGATAAAAAACATAAATCAGTACAATTCTGATTCACACTAAGCAACCAAGCTCACAACAATGTTTGGTACAGTAGTCCTTTTGTTGAATGTTTCACCTGTACTGTTTAGGAGATGGGACTGTAGCTGTGTGTGTGTGCGCGTATCTTATCTATCTATCTATAGAAGCAGTCCCTCTATAGTGATACATAAACTAAACAGTCATGTAGTACAGATAGCGTGTTCTCTGGGCACCGTTATTTTTTGTCTTATTTTTATTTTTTTACTCTTTATTTGGAGTTAAACCTTTGGAATAATACAAAATATTAATTTATTATGTACCGGATACATTTTTATTCTAAGATATTGGAAGTTTCAAGTGTCCCATTCATTTTGGGGTGAAACACAAAACTCATGTATTAAAATCTTTACATTTCGAATGAACACTGACTATTCGCCACCTTACTGGAGACACACACAAAAAAAACACCCATCAGTCTAAATACATGTGAAATACTGCATGTAGATATCAGCGTAAACCATTAGTTAAATTAAAAAGAAAATCTGCAACAATTTTGAGAAAATCGATTCTGTAATTTTTCAAGCACATGCACAAAAACATTCTACTTACAAATGTGAGGGGATTTGTTGCTTTTTTTATTTGTTGTTTATGATTTTAAACCGACTGATCATAATGGGCACTTTCTACATTTTAGACAAAATGGTGGTTGAGAAAATGCACAGCAGATTAATGATGAAATGATTATATTAATATTGAAAATAAGTTGCGGTCTTAATGTGCAGTACTCCTTATTAACAGTTAACCTGCTTCCTGATCAACCACTGCTTATATCAGCTAGTTTATCCGCTGATTGCTGTGGATTTATATTGGATGGTAGTGTCAGCGTGTACACATACTGTGCGTCTCAGTGCTGCTGCCATTTAACAGCAGTCTTTATTATTTATGCTAAAAAGACAAATATAGGCCTGTAGGTGTGTAAATGAGTCATTCAGAGATAATTACTTGCCCCACCTTTCCCCTCCCTCCCCGGTGTGTGTCTTTACAACCCCCTCCTGTTTCTCTTGTCTTTTTTTGTAATTAACCCGACAGACACTCACATACAGCCCTTAAGTGGCCTCTTGAAACACCTGAAACCTAAACATAGTAACACACAGGGGAGAAAGAAAGAAGTAACAAGCAATCATCTAATACAACTGCATCCCAGTGCTTTCTTTCACTGCTTTGACACGCACATCTCTAATGAATGCATGTATACATTTTTACCTCCATCTTCATCAGAACCCTGCGTTGATCTATAATTTAACAACACAATAAAGCATTGTTCATCTCTAGTTTCAGTTTCACAGCTGATAGAATAAAAAGCAATTGCCTCACACATGTTTTGTGTAACTGAAAAGTCTTGACCCTCCATGTCTAAGATGATCCAGATGTTTTTGAAGTGCATTAGCATTATGGACAGATTTCAGAGTCTTATGGTCAGATACAGTGGGGTTGCCGTCACCAGGGCCATGATGTAGGTCTCCAGAATTCAGAAAGGTGTTTCTCCTCAGCCTCCCGAAGAACTGCAGGAACAGTTTTCACTTTGACTTAACCGAGAAAGAGTTTCCTGTCACTACTTCAACCAGTCAACTGGAATTAGACTCTTTGACTTTCAGGAAGAAAGAAATTGGCACACAGCTGAAAAAAACAATAACAACAAAGCTCAAGAAAGATATGTAAACATAAACAATAGGTGAAATAAAAAAGCAACAACATGCAATGTATGTATTTAACCAATGAGTTTTGTTGACGTTGACTTTACGTCCTCATTGTTTGTGGTCCCACAAATGTATTAAATATTTTATTTAATACTTTTACTTTTTTTTTCTGGCTCCATCAAAACCCAGTTTAGCAAAGTACTGACATGGTAACTTTTCCCTTTGTCACAAACAAGGCTTGCACATTTGATAAAGTACCATACAGCATTGTTCTTACACCAATTAAGGAAATATTTCATGTTATATATTGTATGGGCACTTTGCTAAAATGTCATTCACAGACAGAGAAAGGTACACTGAGTTATCCTACATGGTGATGTTAATTAAGTTAAGTTTAAAACAAACTGTTAATATAATATAATATAATAAAATACAACACAACACCAAATAGACTTATTTGGGAGGGTTGTACCATCAACACCAATCAATGAACCCCAAACAGAAGCAATGGGTCTTTTTCTGCAGCAGACTTCTGAAACATATACCACTTCAAATACTATCTGTATAAGCAATTCTCATAAAATAATGTATGTTTTAGATGTCAATAAGGACATTAGGACACATTCAGAGTTTAGGGGTTTTTTTGGTCCCAGAACATTTACATGTATGACTTATCTTTTAATCCCCTGTTCCTATTTTATTTTGTAATGTTGGTCAGTTAAATAAACATATTTTTCTTCCTTTCTGCTGATTCCCTAGTGGATCATACCAAGCCTGTTGTAAGGAATCTTGGCGTCTGGTTTGACAGTAGTTTACGTTTTGAGCAGCACAACACACAGCTTGTGCAACAGCGTTTTTACCATCTTAGAAATATATCAAAAATACGATCCATGTAAACTTTTAAAGACACTGAGACCATTCTGCACGCCTATTGGTCAACTCAGTTGGTTGACTCAGACAGAGAGTTCAGAACTCAGCTTCCAGGCTTTTAACCGGAACAAACAAACCGTGATCACATCAAGCCTGTTTTAACCTCTTTGCACTTTAAAACAGATTTTAAATTATTATTGATTACTTTTAACCCCCATAATGGCCTCTCTCCTTGCTGTATCTCTGACCTTTTAGTACCATCAGGCACCGGCATGTGGATCCTCGGGCAGACGACTGTTGTCTGTTCCAGAGTCTTGACTAAAAACTAAAGGGGCCAGAGCGTTTGATGTCAGGGCCCCGAGGCTCTGGAACAGCCTGCCCGAGGAAATCAGGTCAGCTGAGTCAGTGAACTCCTTTAAGTCCCCTCCTAAAACACACTTTAATAGGAGAGCCTTTCCTGATTTTAGTTGACTTCTTTTAACTGTATTTTAATTCCTTAAAAATGTAGTTTTGTCTGTTTTATCTTAAAACCTGATGGTTTTATGACTTGTGTGTTTTATTTTCTGAAAGTACTTTCTATAACATTTTTTAAAAAGTGCTCTTATTCTAATCATTCTGTGTGAATGGCATGAAAATCTAATAAAAAGTAGAACAAAGTAGGTAAAATGATGATCCATAAGACTGTCACCTATAAACTGCACCTCAAATGACCCAAACCCCCAAATTGTGATAAACAAAGAAGTATCTTGGGGCAAGAGAAGCTAAAACCTTGGATTATTTAATTCAGATCAATTTACCAACCATTTAATGGCATTACTCCTGATACCATTGTCATGTGGATCAGGAATATGTTGATGTTTTGTTGTGTATGCCTCCTACTATAACATTTTCCAAACCTACAAACCTACATTTTAGCAGTAGAATTGGTCCCTTTAACCCTAGTGGAGATTCATGCTTATTGTTGGTATTATTGCAGATTTAAATTCTCCTCTTTATTTAGTATTCAACTTCATTGAGTGTCTGTTTGAGCCCTGAGATTTCTTTCCCCTCCACTCCCTCCGGGCGCGGCGTCCTTCGGTTTTTCCATTTTGCATGTGCAGATAAACAAAACCTAGCGTCACAAATAGACACACTTAAAATACAAAGCGTATGCAGCATTTGTCAGCTGTTCACTCTCGCTGAACAGAGGACAAGATTTTTGAGAAAGAGGTGTCTTGTGAGAGGAGTGGTGCAGGATGAATGAATGAATGGTATGCCGCCTGGGCTGTCGGAGTAGTTTGGGCAAATGAGCCACCCTCCTCCTTCTTTTCTCATCTTTCGTTTACAGCCGCTTCATAACTGTCATCGACACTTTCTTCCTTTTGAAACAGTCTTTGGATGCAGTGGTGGAAAGTAACTAAGTACATTTACTCAAGTACAAGTTTGAGGTCATTGTTCTTAACTTGAGTATTTCCATTTCTGCTACTTTCTGCTTTCACTACATCTCAGAGGGAAATAATGTACTTTTTACTCCACTGCGTTT